GTGCCTGAACCTGGACTTGTAACTGAAACACGTTCCTCTACCTGAACCTGTACCTATATCAGTACCTGTATCTGAACCTGCACCTTTGCCTGTGCCTGTACTTGTACCTTAATTTAAATCTGTATCTGTCCCTCTATCCGTGCCCATACCTATGCCTGTACCTGAAACCTGTGCTTGTACCTGTAGCTGTATTTTACCTGAACCTGTGCTCACACAGGTACCTGCATCCCTGCTTGTGTCTGTTCCTGAACCTGAATCTGATCCCTAAGCCTAAACCTGTGTTTGTAGGTTCACCTGTATCTGAACCTCTGCCCACACCTGAACCTAAACCTGTACCTGTATCTGAACACGTGCCTGCGCCTCTACCTGTGCCCATACTTGAATCTGTAATAACAATAGCAACAATAATAATAATAAAACAACCATAACAATAACAAAACTATACATTATTGAGATATGGAATCTGGTGACCCTAATTCCAACAAGTTCTGTGCACGTGTAAAGGGAAAGAGATACAGGGGGAAAAAGGTTGTCCAGCCTTTTGGGCTTCAGGGGATAAAATTCCCCTACCCAGATGTTTCCCAAAGCAGAACTTTTGATATTACTACTATTTTATTTCATTATCTAGCTTGCCTCAAAGACTATTTTGTGTGGTGTGATGGCTTTAGAGTACTTTAGATGGGACACAGTAAGATATAAGAAACCTTTTAAATGTTATTTTTTTCCTCAATTAAATTACTTGGAAGTCTATTTTATTAAGTTAGGTGGGGTTTTAATTTAGTTCAGCACATTAAGTCAGGATATATTAATAATAACAATAATAATTTACTATTATATTAGCTTTCCACTATAGCTTTATTCTACTGGACAACCTTTAATTTAGATATAAAACATTAAAAAATCAGGTTTCTATTGGATAATTAATAGAGTATAATTGCTAATACACAATTATTAAAGTCAAATCCTTCCAGGGGGTCTTTACAAGTGCAGTTATTCCTGAATGTTTTATCTAAACCAAATAGTATATACCAGTAAAACTCCTTGAAAGCTGAATTTATTACAGTCTCTCCCAGCCCACATGTGATCAAACAAAATGAATAAATAAATCAATCTCCCCAAAGCAAATAATTGTATATTCTGACATGATTTACAGTGGTTTATTAGTGCACTTACTGTCACTGCCTTTGGGAGAAATGTCCCTGCAAACACAGCACTACTTAGAGGGAAACACAAATTATAATACAGGTTTTAAGCCTGGCTTTAAATCTGTCTCTCTGAAATAGCACCTGTACAAATATTTGCAAAAGTAGATTTACAGGAGGAGAAAAAAATAAAAGGTATTTTCTTCAAGGTTTAAATTTGCTGTTGGGTTAATCTGGGAACAATTAATTTAGGAGGAGCACAAGCTGACAAATAAACCTGAATCCACGCTGAAATAAAATTGTCAACTGTTAAAAAAAAAATGGGGAGAAAAATTAGTTTATTTTGAGTCAGTGCTTGAATCTCCTTTAAAATCAGCATCTTAATTCCTCCTGTGAAGATCCTGCTTTGTTCAGGTGTCTGAACTGGTGGTTTGGAAACCCTAAATGAAGTTTATTTCCCACAGATTTGTAACACCGCTGGTTTATAACTAAAAATCAGAAGCTTCAATTAAAGCTTTTACTAAATTAGGGCTTTTATAAGGTATATAGGTATGAAATAAATAAATATTCGGGCAAACCTGGAGATGAGGAGTTACAGTGTGATGAACGCCTGAAAATTTAAAGTTTTGCAATACATTTCCTCTCTTAAAATAAGAGTTTATGGCACTGACACATTATGGCACCCAAGATTTTGGAATGCTTGTATTCATGCATAGAACCTCATTGTGGGAAGAATCTGCATAAGTTTATGAACAAATAGGATTATATTTTCCAAAATGGTTTCTATCCACATTTAAGAAATACTTTAAAATAATACATTTCTCTTTAAAATGGTGAAAGAACGTAATAAAGTACTACAGGAAAGAAACTGGGAAAGATCATTATGAGAAGCACTAATAGTTTTAAATAAAATCTCTATTTCCAGTAATCAAAGTTCATCTTGAAAAGCAGCTTTTCAATAGGCAGAGAAAGGTTCCAAAGCCAGGAAAGATGACTGGGAAGCAAATGACACAACGACACAGTGAAATTATGTCAGTTTTAAAATGTAAATTAACACTCTGCAGTCCATACCTGGGACTGGAAGTGTTCTGGGATCGTGTAAGACTTGCCGATTCCAAAGGATTACAAAATCACCCACAAGGATAATCCAGTCCAACTCCTGGCCCTGCACAGGACAACCCCAAGAATCCCACCATGTGCCTGATCTGGGAAAAAAATTCTTACTCACTAAATCCAGGGAGTTTTGCAATCGACTTCAGTAGATCAGTTTTAATCTACCAGTCAGTCTTTTTGCACATCTGAGTTAGCAATTTGTACACTTATTTTTTAGGACCAAGGAAAGACTCCACTGGATTCAGCAAATTAAATCAATCTATATTAAAGTACAGGGTACACACTTCACATGAGTACTTACAAACAAGGGAGGAAAGCTATTCCAGGTGTTGCTTCCTTGGAAACAACCTCTACTTGATCCAGGAATCACAGAATCAAAGAAGGGTTTGGGCTGGAAAGGATTTTAAGTCCCACCCCCTGCCACAGGCAGGGACATCTTTCACTATCCCAGGTTGCTCCAAGCCCCGTCCAACCCTGCCTTGGACACTTCCAGGGATCCAGAGGCAGCCACAGCTTTTCTGGGCAACCTGTGCCAGGGCCGCATCACCTTCACACCCAACAATTCTTTCCCAACATCCCATCTAACCCTGCCCTCTGGCACTTTGAAGCCATTCCACCCTGTCCTGTCCCTCCAGGCTCCTGTAAATAGTCTCTCTCCATCTTTCTTGTCAGGCTCCCTTCAGGTTTTGGGAGGACAAGGTTACTATTGAAATCTCAACTAGAAAATACTGTGCTCAATAATTCCTTCTCAAGACCTTCCTGACTGGGAGAGTTTTCCTTTCTTTTTGTCCACCCTACCGGAAAGAAGTCATAGCTCAGATCTTTTGTTCAAAGTTTATGGACAATTTGAGTGTGAGATTCAGGGAAACACTGGAACAGTTTTTCATGCAATGGAAACAGGTGAAAGCAGAAAATGATTATTTATGGAAAGAACTTCCCTGGCAAAGTCTCAACTCGATTAATAACTCAGTAATTCCCCTACTCTGTGCAAAGTAGCACAGAGAATGTATAAAAGTCATTAGAACAAAGCTCTTATGAAAGGATCTAAATTACAGCCTAATCCTTTAATACCTCAGATGAAGAACACTCACAGTGAAGTTCAATTGCTTGAAAAATTCTCAATTGAACAATTTCTGCACTGAATAATTTCTCTATTAGGCAAAGCATTGCTTGGACTTGATATATATGCCCTAAACAGAACAAACATGTCTTTGATCTGCCTTAGTTTATATTGTTTAAGTAACCCACTGAAATAAATATATTTCATGAACAGTTTATAATTCAAGTGTGCTTTTTTCCCTAAAAGCTGAGTTTCTAAAACCATCTTTATGACAAGACAAAGAAATGCAAGGTCTTTATCCTATTTCTTTGTAATGTCTAGAAATAAAAAACCAAAACAAAACACTTTACCACCAGTGCAGTATAAGAACATCCATATGTTCACTGTAGAAATTGTGCAGAGCTGTAGTAATCAATAATTACAATTATCAAAATTTATTTCTATTAAAAATTATTAATTAATAACTTTTTATTACTTGAGATTCTTCTATTTTCTGAAGCCACCCCAAGACATCTGTCTGTCCTCACACCGAGTTAACTTCAAGCTGTGCATCTTGAGAGCTGTTAAAAGTAGACAACCCAATCACACAAAACATTTTATCAGCTCACCTGGAATTATTCAAAAAATTAAATTTGATAGCTTTGACATGTAATGGAAAATTCAAATCATAGAATTGTAAAGTTTGGAAAAGACCTCCAAGATCACCAAGTCCAACTGTCAACCAGCACCACCAGCAAGTTCACCACTAACCCATGTCCTCAAGTGCCACATCCACACGTGTTCTGAACGCTTCCAGGGATGGTGATTCCCTGGGTAGCCCATTCCAATGCTTTCCAACCATTTCCCTGAAAACATTTTCCCTGATCTCCAATCTGAACATCGCCTGGCGCAATTTGAGACCATTTCCACTCATTTGCAAATGTTAGAACAGTGCAGAGTACAAGCTCTTCCAAACAACTGTGGAAACGACAATCCTAAAATTACCTACAGTGAAAAGATGCCTCCCTAACGGGAGGTGTTGGGTGTACAGGGTCAAAGGGGTCCAGCAGAAATAAATCCTGCTTGACAAATAAAGCTTGACATCAGGATTGTAATCTCTGAGCGTGGTTACTCCTGGTTTAGTCAAACCTCCCTCCTTGTTACAGCAGCGGGGCCTTTTTGATTATTTTTAGCAAGGTGTCCAATACAAAGCTTGTGGAAATGAATTGAAAAATTGCTGTTAACTACAGTGAAATTTCAACCTACCTGAAAGTTCAGCTACTATTTTTATCTTGGTGTAACACCATAATTTATCACTGTATTATTTCGCTATATTTAAGAGACATATCAAAGCTCTGCGTTGTCAGATCCTACTTATCCACAGAGTTTGGAAACACCTGGATTTCAGCTGCTGCCATGAGTTTCTACACTTTATATGCTGAGCCCCAACATGAACCAGAATATTCCCCACAACCAGCTGCAGATAAGCCCTGAAAATACTTATCTAGATAATGGATTTCAACTCCTTTACAGTACTTAATTCAAATGAACCCACAGCACAGGAATGAAATTCAAAGATTTAAAGGAAGTAAAGAAGTTTGAGAATAAAAAGGAAGCTTTGTTCTTGCATCAGAATGTATTAGATCTTGTGATTTGCATGTACAAATAATTCAGCAACATTCACTGGCATTAAAAACACAGCGAGATCAAATTAGAAATGTAATAAAAGGAAATAATAAGAGCTGAAACTGTATAATACATCCATATATTATAAAGATTTGACAAATTAAATACATTTTGGTTATACAGAGAAGTTTGCATAACTTTACATGGAAAAATGGGATGAGGGAAAGGAAAACATTTCAAAATACTGAACGTGGGTGGTCAGGCTTGTTTGAAAAGTTTAAAAAACTGATACATAAAAATAGCCTAAAAAACACTGTAATTACAATATGCATTCTTCATTAAGGCCCAATTCAGCAAAGCACTTAAGGGATTGCTCCAGGAACATGGAACCCATGGAACCTCCACGGTTTGTGGAATAAAGGTGTTGTAAAGCTTAAATGCTGAGGTGAACTGGAACCAATCTGAACACATCAACAGTCAAGTCACACAGTGACCAAAACCACAGACAGATCAGAATGTACAACTTCCAATCCAGCTATTTGGCCTTTGAAAGCCATTCCATGCAACGTAAGGGAATTGAAAGGAAAATTCATCTCCACCAGGACACAGCTCCCCAGGGATCAGGCTGGACACAAGGACTGGGAAGCAAAGCTTTCCAAATGATAAAAAAAAAAGCACTCATTACGGAGCTTTAGTTGTGACTCCTGAAATACATTTTAGGTATTTCTCTCTCCTCCTAGAAATCTGAATGCAGCTATCAACTAAAATCTGAGTGCCCACTGAGTATTTAATGTCTCAGCTTAACTCCATCCTACAACTGGTTGTAACCACAGAGTGGCAAACCCTGTGGGCAGCTGGAGTTGTGCTGTGAGACCCCAACGACATCACACGAACTCACTGTTGCACTGAGGCAACTTCCAATCCGAGTTTTTACTCAAGGGACCCCAAAATCCGCCCAACAGAGAAATTATTATCCAAAGTAAATGCCTGGAAAGATCCTGACATCAGGATCAGAAAGTGGGAATTTCTTTGCATTATTCTCCGTCCTCGTTTAACCTCTCTGAGTCTCCCTGTGCTACAAACGACCGTTCTGAGACCTCCACTGTGTCCACACTGAATTTATTTGATGGCTTTTGTAAATTCTGATGGAATTTCAGCATGCAGCAGTAAATGGAAATTTCCTCAGAGCTCATTTCCATTACTCAACACTGTGGCTTGAGTGTATCTTCTCATAGAGACTCACAACAAAGGTTTAGTCTTTCAACAATCTTTTTTTTTTTTTTTTAAGTGCATAATTCACTGTACAAATAAATACAGAAGTGCATCGATGGGAAGACAAGAAGCAGTGTGGGAATAGCTTAGGAATTCCTAACCTGCAGCTTTTCCATCCAGCATGACAAGGAAGGAGAGGCGTGGACACCTTCCCATTCCCTGGCATTGGTACAGTGGGATTTATATCAGAAATGGGATCATATAGTGCAAGAGCAGCAGGGAAATGCTCAGTGGAAGCTGCTTATTTTAAATAATTTTTATGTTTGCATCAAAAAAGCCCAACTGGACGAGACAGAATTGCATATTAATTATGTAATTAAAGTACAGATTCACCTCCTTTGTGCTCATTAAGTCATAGGTGCCTCGGAAAGAGTGGAAAAGATCCACTTCTGAATTATTCAACATTCGGATGCCCTGTGATTTTTGGATTTTCTAACCCCCAAACCTCCTGTTTGGGGCTCTAGTAAAGACTTTGACATGTTATTTCACCAATTCTATTATCAGTAGTACTTCCATTAAAAATATATCTCTGTACACAATCACACACCCCCCTTTAGAGAAACGAAACATTCCTTTTTTGATAACAAATATGGGAGGGTAAGAACTGAGAGGAGCTTTTTGCTTCAACACCAATTTTTTCTGGCATTAAACTATTAGTTAAATATTTTCTCAAATTTTTATCAATATTCTTAATCACATCAAGCAATAAGAGTTTATCTCTTTTGCTTTGGCTAAAAGAAGTGGGAAATTCTGCACGTATAAATAGAGAAGAGAAGCTTTAACTCCATTTCTGGCCTTGCTCTTTGAGTGGACAAGTTCAGGTGCTGCAAAATAAACTCTTCACATATGTCAAATATTCTCAAAACAGTGGTAAACTCACATTATTGTCTTTTAAAATCAATTCTGAAGTGTGAAACTTAGGAAAGAACAAAATAACTTGACTTTTAAAGGTGTAATAACTCAGAAATTCAAATCTGTGTTTATACTTTATGGACAGCAAGACTCAAAATCAAACTGCCATCAACCTAGAGGCTCTTAAAAACAGCCTTTAAAAATAAATAACTATTTCCATGGTGAAGAGAAATTTATGGCCAAAACATGTTTAAACATAGGTACCACAACTGGCTTTTTTTGTTTAGTATAAACTGTAACTCACCTGTCAAAAACTTCAAGAATTGGGAGATAACATTATTGATAAATATTTATAAGTGGCAAAACTCAAGAAACAGACCCTCAAGAATTAATTTACTGTTATTCAGAATAAAGATTTCTATCCCATCTTACAGATCTATACAGTATAGGAACATTATACTTCCCTTTAGAAGATATTTATATTTAAGAAAGAACTCTGTACAGCAAATGCAACTTTAAGAGCAAACACAACATTGTATTTACAGTAAACTCAACAACCAAAATGACATGGAATAAATTAACAGAATATACAACTCTTTGTACAGACAAATTAAAAAATAAGGCAGAATTCTCATTTAAAATTAGCATAATCAGAAAAGATGTCGATGAAATCTTGTACCACTCTGTAGCAGAATTCATACTGTTCCTGAAAAACAAGAAAAACACATCAAAAT